CTCTGGCAGTGGGAAGCCATTCCCTTTTTTCTAACTCTTCTGCTTCAGAAGTATTTTCGTGCTTTGCTTCACAGCATCTTTAGGAAAAAGCTTTTTTCAGCTCTCTGATGCAATGTTGGTCTTTGGACTTAAACTCCATGAAATTGTTGTTTCTTACAGCTTTTCCATGGAAAAAAAAATTGAGAATCCTCTTGTTTAATGGACAAAACCACTGTGCTCACCGTGGCTTTCAAAGCACACACAGAGCAGGGCACGGGCACCATCCCACCTTATTTCAAATACTCCTGTATTTATTCACAGTTCCCAGAGGATTTCTAAAGTGTTTTTAACAGCGCTAAACTTAACAGAAAAATCACGTATTATCACTAAATTCTCATCTCCTTTTCTTCTTTGCCTGCTACAGGAATCTTTTGTAGCTCCATAGGACAGAAAAATGGGATGGGTTTTCTAAAACCTCTGAGTTCTTATCTAAAATTTTATAGAGTCAGGCTGTGTAAATAAAAGCAAATAATGGTGATTTCTGGTTTAGAAAATCCTTTTTCTTTTCTGTTACCTGAATCTGAGGAAAGCAACCTTAATTTTGTGAACCTGTTAAAGGGTTAAATAGGAAAGGAGGAAACCAAAAAAGTTGTTTCTTTTCTTGTTAGAAGCCAATGTGCTCTGTATTTTGCAAAAATTAAGGATTTTGTATTAGATTCAGAACAACTTCTGCTTCCTTTCCTCTGAATTTTTCTGCTGAAGAGTGAGAAATCAAAAAGTTTATCTCAAAATATTACAGGTTCCTCTTAAGTTCTCCAACTCCAGAACCCAAATTTAAGATGTTTCATCCCTTTTCCCTAGTTTTCTGCCAGATTTTCATTACTTCATTACAGAAAAGCTCCTTAACTCTCAAAGAAGAACAAAAACACTGTGGAAAAGACATTTCCAAATACTGGAAATGGGAATATTGGCTATGGGAAATCCCCTTGTGCTCTGCCAGGCACTGGATTTGCTGCACTCAGCCAGCTCAGGAATGGAGTCGGGAAACATCAGTGCAGACCTCTCACCCCTGGAGCAGAAATAACAAATCCTGGCTGTTTTCTGGGGTTCATTTCCCTTCAGCAGGTCTGAGCCTGCTTCCCTGGATCCACCTCAGCTCCGATTTCCTCGGAACTCTGACACTTGGGAGGCATCAACACAATTTAAATTCCTTTTTCAGCATTGTCAGTGAGGCTGAGACTTCGGGCTTGGGGCAGGAAGTTGCATCCTGAGCTCTTCCAAGGAATTATTTTCCTTTTTTTTTTTTTTTTTCCCCGGGTTTCTCAACACGAGGTTTGGAGATCTTACATGATCCTTGGGGGGGATCTGGTGGAGGGAATTGTGCTTTGTGCTTGGGAGCAAAGAAATCCTGCCTGTAACTTCATTCTGGTGTGCAATATTGATTTCACTTGGTCCTTACGGATCTGCAGGACTTTTTGGACTTAATCCCCATTTTAGTTATGTTGGAAATGCCACAAATCTGCCTGGAATGAGGGGAAATTCTGTAGCTAAATGTGTTAGACTGGCTGAGATGATGAGGGTTGGTGGCCTTAGAATCCCAGGCTGGTTTGGGATAGAAGAGACCTTAAATCCCATCCCCTCCACCCCTTCCACTGTCCCAGGCTGCTCCAAGCCCCATCCAGCCTGGGACATTTCCAGGGATCCAGGGGCAGCCCCAGCCTCTCTGGATAACCTTGGATACATCTTCCCCACCTCTGGAAGGTGTCACTGCAGGAGTTGTGCTTGCAATGCTTAAGGAAAATTATCCTTTTAGTTTACAGATGCAGTCAGTTAAGTTTGACCTTTAATGTCTTTCTTTCTCCCACATTTCCATCCAGGATTATCTCCAATATCTTTGTTTTCTTGTGCTGGCTGCTTATAGCACATTGTGTGCTCTAGTTCTGAACCCTCTCTAATTCGGTCTAAACAAACACATTTAGGAGCAAAATTGTCTTTGAGGTGCAAAATGTGTCCCTGGCCTTGGGCAGGTGACAGCTGGGAACACAAAGATAACCTCTGGGCTCTCAGAACTCCAAGTTAATTATTTTCTTTTCCTTCTCTGGTTGCAGTGTGCTTTTTATTTTAGAATTCACTTCTTAGCTCAGTGCCTGTCAGCTGCACATCAGCTGGAAAATCTAGAGGAGAAATATTTGGTCACAAATGTTCACAGAAGTGAATCAAGTCAGTGCAACAGATACACCAGAGCTTTCTGGGTCTTTATTTAAAATATAGATCACTTCATACTCTGATATTGAGAGTCAGTGGGAGCTTTTAATGGCTTCCCATGCCAGAGGGGAGAAATGGATGGGAGATTGGGAATTGGGAATTCCTGGCTGGGCTGGAATTGCCAGAGCAGCTGTGGCTGCCCCTGGATCCCTGGCAGTGCCCAAGGCCAGGCTGGACACTGGGACAGTGGGAGGTGTCCCTGCCATGGCAAGGAGTTGGAGAGGATGGGATTTAGGATCCCTTCCAACCCAAACTGTCCTGGGATTCTGCTGGCAAAATATTGCATCCCAATTCAAGCATTAATTGGTCTTTGCAATGAATTTGCCTCTTGTCTGGTGCTGGCACAGCCAGAGCTGCGTGTGGTCACTTCACCTTCCTTTTGCTGAATCCAACCCCAACTTCCATCCTTGTTTTTCCTAGAAACCTCCAGGAATTACTGCCTCCGGGTTTAGAGCTCTGATTTCCCCATGTGTGTTTGTAACAGTCCTTTATCCTGGTGGATTTTAGGGAGCTCCCAGTGCACCGGGTTTTTTTCCTGTTCGTCATTTCCAGCTGTGGATTCGGTGCTTTGTTCCTTCCCTGGGTGCTGCAGCACAGTTTGAACCAGAGTTGTTCCCTCTCCCATCCCACTGCCCTGCTCAGTGACACTCACAAAACAGCTCAGAGAGTGTTAATAACCAGGATAATGAACTTTTAACTCCAGCCTTGTGTTCCCCTGCAGGCAAATGTGATCAATTTAAAGACTTTCCTTTCAGCCGTGAGACTGGCTCACCAAGGCAACGACACCGGAGTCCTCCCTCTGTCACCTCTGGTCCCGGCAAAGAACTCCGACGTGGAGAAACCCAAAACCAAAATGATCATCACTTCCAGGAGGGATTATCCCCTCACCAAGAGCTTCCCTTTCTCCCTGGAGCACCTGCAGACCTCGTACTGCAAGCTGGCCAGGATCGACAGCCGGGTGCTGTGCCTGAAGAAGCTGCGCAAGCTGGACCTGAGCCACAACCACATCAAGCAGCTGCCGGCCACGCTGGGGGACCTGGTGTGCCTGCAGGAGCTCGACCTGCACGACAACCACCTGGAGGCCTTCAGCGGGGCCCTGTGCAGCTCGGGCCTGCAGAAATCCCTGCAGCTGCTGGACCTGAGCCAGAACCAGATCCAGGCGCTGCCCATCGAGTTCTGCCAGCTGCGGGGCCTGGTGCAGCTGCGGCTGGACGACAACGCCCTGCTGCGCCTGCCCTGCCGCATCGGGCAGCTCAGCCGCCTGCGCTTCCTGTCGGCCGCGCGCAACAAGCTGCCCTTCCTGCCCTGGGACTTCAGGAGACTCTCCCTGGAGAACCTGGACCTCTTCGGGAATCCTTTTGAGCAGCCCAACCCGCTGGTTCCCAACATCCAGCTGAAGATCCCGTTGACTCTGTTGGAGTGTGCTGCCAGGGCCACCGTCAATCACAGGTGAGGGCACGCCTGGCACTGCTCCTTCACACCTGCCCTCCCTCCCCTGCTTCCTTCCTTTCCCCTTTCTCACCTATTAACATCATAAGATTAAAATTCTTTTGAATTCTCCTTGTCAAGTCATCAGGAAATTGGTGCTTTTGGAAGCATTTAAGGAAAGGCAGAGATTGAGGTGACAGAATATTTTTGGCCAACTTTGGAAAAAGAGAATCAGATCTACAACCCTGAGCCACTTCTGCAGCCTTTCCCCTGCCATAGGTTTTCCTTAAGCTCCTCATTTCCCCTGGTGTTGGAGTGAGGGTGTTCTGACTTATTCAGAGAATGAGCTCTGAGGTAATTTGAAAAATATGACTTCACCAGGTAAACACCACCCTCCCAGGCTGCTGTTTGCTATCAGCTCCCTCCTCTTCCCCCACACCACTTCCACCCCTGATCCTTCGTGCACCAGGAGCCTCCAGGTACCAGCAGCTGCTGCTCCCACCCTGCTCTGGGTGGGAAGGGAGCACAAAGACAGAAATTTGGCACAGAAAAGAGGGAGAGAGAGGCTGGAAGTGTCCCTATTCTTCATCCTGTGCCCGTTCCTGCCTTGAGGGTGGGCAGTGCCCCATAAACCCGGGGTAATTGTGCAGAAGTTTGCACCAAAGGCATCCACGGGCACGCCCTGAAGGGAGCTGAGCCACCACATGTTCTGGGCCAAATCACCTGCTGCTGACCTCACTGGTTTCATAATTAAACCCACGTGTCTCCTTTCCCAATTTTATATAAATCACAGTGGGTTTGATGCGAATATTAAGGCTTTTTTCTACCTCTAAAAATCCCTCAGCACTGGTCAGATTTCAGTTACTGTAAAAACCTTGAGAAAGGGATGAAGCAGAAGGAGAAGGTGCAAAAATAATGTTTGGAAATCAGTCTTCATTCTGGGAAAGTACCAGATTATGCTTTTCCCAGAAAAAAGGGTGTTCTGAAATTAAGGTGGTGGAAAAAAAAAAAAATCTAGAGGAGTCTGATCTGGTGGATTTGCGAGTGATGGTGTGTGGAAAGGCTTGGGAATGTGTGGGTGGAGGCAGGATGTGAGTCAGTGGGATCTGTGCTGAGTTTGGAGTGCCAGCTGGGCACTGCTGGGACCCACACTTCAGCCACCTGACAGAATTCCTCAGGGGAATTACTTATTTTGTATCCCAAGCTCGACACTGCTGTAAATTCCAAAAGGAGCAATTCCCCTTCCCAACTCTGGATGTCATTGCTGACACGGTGGATGGAGAGAGCTGTGGAGCAGGAGAACTTTTCATTTCATGCTGCAAAAGGCTCAGTGTATCTCCTGCTTTCTCTCAGTTGTTTTTTAACACTGCTGCTCCTCAGTGTAAGAGGGAGGAGAAAATCGTGGGTGCTGTGTCAGGCCAGGGTGAGAATGTGAGGGAAGAACAGAACGTGCTCAGTTGTCTCATTATTCTTAATCTTCCTGTAATTCTCTAATTCTCATTACTCTTAATCCTTCTAATTCCCTAACTGGCTGTGGCCCAGACTGCCAGGATTGCTGTGAGCTCCCTGTTGGACTGTCTCCCAGAGTTCATGTCCTTAGGGACTGCCTTGGGAAGTGGCTTTTCATTCCTAAAAATCTCAGGAATTGCCATTTCAGTCCTAAAATTGGACATTCCATTCCTAAAATCTCAGGAAGTGGCATTTCAGTCCCAAATCTCTGGTTTTCCATGTCTGTGTGATTCCTGGAGAGGCTCCCTGGAGCAGAGGCTGGACAGAGTTACAGAATAAAGCAGGGATTTATTAAAAGGCCTTTACAGGGCACACCTTGGGCAGTGCAGGAGCCCGGCCACAGCTCCACTCAAGATGGACTCAGAGTCACAGGTTTCACACTTCTATGAGTTTTGGTCCTTTCCACACTGGGGTTCATTGTCCAATTCCAGCTCCAGGTGCTGCAGTCCCACC